CACCATGACCTGGTTCGGCGATTTTAGAGTGGATACTCTCCAACTCCGATGCGTTCTTATTTTTTTCGTTAAAACTCGAGCTTGAGCTGTGTTCGAACAAGCCATTTTCACCCTGCGGATGGTTAGCTTCTAGCACAACGGGCTTTTCATCACTAGGTTCTGAAGACATATCGTATATTATTATTGAGAAATTCTAAGATAAAAGTCTATTCAATACAGATCGACTCCAAATGCCCCTTATGGTAACATGATATTCTTCTATTATTTATAAAAATCCACTTTTCCATGTTGATCATCTATTTTCCCCATAAGTTTACTTGCTGACCAATTTTGTGTATTTTTCCTCATAAGATATCTCAATTCTTTTAAGGAATAATGTAATGGTTATGAGTGCTATATGCATCTTAGAGAATTAACCTAAAGAAAAAGTCAAGATTTCCAAAACGATACATGTCCGATATCTCCTCATCAATCAGAGCTATAGATAGATATGTGGGACACGTATAGGTGACCTAGCCATGTGATAGCATATTTCAAATGTGTCAGGATTAGTAATAAAGAACTTACTGTTAAATACAATTTGGTTACATTTGGTTTAGAGCTGGCCATAATATTCCTACACATCAGATGAGGTATTATTATTTTACAATAGCTCGTTAAAATTACCCATACATAAGGAACCAATACGGAACGATGGAAGGTGGGTCAATAACAATAATAAATCTTCGAGGCGATGCGTATTTTTAAGACAACCCAGTATATGTTCGGAACGAGAATATTGGACTAGAAACTCTTTGCGGTGCCGCACTAACGTCATAAATGTGGAACTTCAATATGGCGTACTTCATGGAGTACAATGAATGTACTCCAGGTCTGAATGGAAAGGACGGCGCGGATTAAAAAGCAGGAGTACTGCGCGACCGGCAGCCGATCTCCCACCATGCACTATTACAAACTATTTTATGCAGGGTGTATGGATGTAGCATTCCAGAACACCCGTAGGCATGGCTAACATGGAGTACGTAGTTATGTGTAGCATTTGCCTGCAGGTCGAAGTTCGTGTTTGTTTCCCATACAACCCAGCGAATCGAGCTTTCGATAATGTAAAAAGGACAAAGTGCAGAGTTTGGTTGCACTGAGTAGTCTGAAGGTGCTGCGAACGGTTTTGATTGCAGTTGTTTCGATGTGGGTGAATAATTAACGGTACATTTATTTTCTATGCTGGTAGTGGAGAGATGGCAGTTGGAAATGCGAAGATTTCCGAGTTTGGTATCGACTATTTAATTGAAGCGTAAAATAGTAACGAATCGTACTTCTACGAAATCAAATAGATGACCTTCAGATTAACTATTATCCCGAAAATATTAACGGCCATCTACTGCAGTGTTTTGCGAAATGCGAACTTCAATTTAAAATATTATTTTCATTACTCTAGTAATAAGTTTAAACGAGACTAGGATTGATTAAATCTATTAAACAATAATAATTATGTAATATATAGGAAAATATGTGTCAAAAATACTTAAGGGTCTGAGAGTGAATTAACAAAGACTAAGCTATCTCAAGAAATCTCTTAAGTATGAGCCCAATTTATTTGCACCTTCTTCGAAAGCATCTTTTAACACGTCCAAATCTTGGTTGGCGTTTCCGGAAAATCTTGAAGCAAATTCTCTGGCGCTCGATTCTATGTCCGTTAAACCGGCACCTTGGTGGGTATTGTTTTGCGCAGACTCATCTTCACCAAAATACGACGAAGATGAAATGGATTGGGCACCGTTGAAAGATTGAAGTTTGTCTCTGGCTTCAGCGTTGGCAGTTTCGTCAAATCTAGGTCCTCTTCCAAAATATTCATCGGATGAGATACCCTTTTGCGTTCCAAACTTATTGGAAACTTCACCAGTGTATTTGATTGGCTTGAAGTTTTTAGACTTTTCGTTCACTACCTCGTTTGAGCCAGCTGTCATTCCGAATCCTAATTTCTGAAATTTTTGAGTGGTTTCTTTGATCGGAACATTTTTTGCAGGTGATTCATCCAATTCCTCGGTATCTTGTTTTCTGGAACCTAATGATAAGCTTGACTTTTTTGGTTCATTCTTAGATGCATTAGTACTCTCGATATCAGTAGGGTTCTCAGTGGTTGGCTTGTAGCCTAATGCCTTGGCCTCTTCAGCTTCTTGCTTTGCTTTTCTTTCGATTTCTTCAAAATCAATAGCTTCTGTTTCCTTATTGATTCTTTTGTTAGCCAATCTCGAATTTCTTGGTCCGTTACCCTTGGATGACAATATAGATTTTTTTGGTTGATTTGCACCACTTGAATTATTCACCAATCTGGATGTCGTACGCGTAGTTACAGGCTTCTTCACGCTGAGATCATCATTAGATGCATTAGGCGTAATGTTCTTAGAAGATAAAGGTGATGGGGTGGAGTTAATTGGTTTTGTCCAGTTACTGAAGAAATCATCAGTTGAAACGTTGTTGCTTGAATCTGTGAGTAAACCTCCACTCTCTTCGAGGTCATCAATAGTGATTTCATCTGGATGCTTTGCTTCGTCTTGTTGAGCCTTTTGCTTCAATTTTTCCTTATATTTGAGTGCAACTGGCGCAGTGTATTTTGCATTTATATCGACCCCATCTTTATTACCAAGAAATTTGGAACCTCCATTTTTAGTGTAGAACTCTTTAGCAACTTGATTCCCACCAAATTTGAAATGCCTTAATTGAATTCTTTGCCATGAATCCAAATTCGATGACTTAACAAATGAAATATGCACCCCTAAGTTTCTATGCGCAGCAGAACATTCTAAACATAACAAGATACCAAATGGGATCGATGTCCATGTCGGATTTTTATTTGAACAATCAAAACAAACCTGATTAGCTGGTTGTTGTTTCAACTTATTGAAGACCTTAGTGGCCTCTTCCTTAGTAGCCATAGAATCTGACATCGTATCTTTGAATTAACCGTATATACCTTGATTGATTAAGTAACAAGCGATAATGAATCAGTTCTAATATTTCTATCAACGTGTAGATTAGATTTTTTTTATTCAAAAAATTGGTGATATTACACAAAACCACATTTTGTTCGAAGTGTCTTCTGACTCTTATCAATGAGTCTACATAGGAGTAGAATACTAAGCGATAATGACGTAAAATAGATTAGAAAGATCTATGAACTAAATAAAGTAGTTAAATGTGAATAATATGTACAAATTAGAAGCTATAAATAAGATTGTATAAATTAGTGGAATGGTCTTGAACCACCACGAGCAAATTCAATAACCTTCCATCCTTCAGTTACAGTATTGTCGAACTCTTCTGGAATTCTAGTGAAAACCATAGCATAAGTACTTAATTGAATGTGGTCCTCGGTACCAGCAGCAATTTCGCCAGTCTTAGCTTTTCTGTATAAATGGATTTCTTGCGCACGACAACTAACAACTATGACAGGAATATCATTTGGCTGTAAACTCTTACAGGTAACAATATCGACACCTCTGATATCTAAGATCTTACCGTCAGAGAATAATCCTTGTTGTATGAATTGCTTGTTGTTAGCTTGCCACACGTTGAATGGGGCTTCACTGAACCAGTTTTTTAATACCTTTTCGTCGTTCTTAATGTATGAGTCCAACAATTCAGGGACAATATAATTAGTCAATGTCTTGGTGAAATCGGTGACTCTGAATGATGGATCCATTTGTCTGAATTGCTTGATTACCTTGGCTTGCTCGGTTTCGGCAAAGAAGCCAGTTACCTTTTCTATAATTGTTCTGATAAGAGAGATCAATCCATTTTCTGAGTCATCCCATTTTTCTTTTAATATGACAATACCACGTCCGATTGGAGATTTAATCTTGAAGTCTTCCCATTTGTCAGATATAGTAGGACCAGAAGCTTTGTGTTCGGTGGCAACTAAGGCTCCGCCGGCACTTTCATCTTCCTTAACAGGCTTCCAAGCCTTACCACTCTTCAATTTTTCAGCCAATTCTTTCTCTCTTAACTTTTGTCTTTGTTCTTTAGTTAAAAACCCACCGTATGAAGTTGATGAACCGTCATCGATAACATCGGACACATTCTTGTAAACAGTAGTTTTTCTAACTGGATCAAAAGCCTTGTCAGCTACTTCAGCACTGGTTCTAACCGTGGTTCTAACACCTTTACCAACTGGTGATTCCCAGGCCTTGTATGCGGCACCTCCGACCACATCAGCTGTCTTCTTTGCAACTTTACCAGCAGCAGTACTACCTTTCTGAGCCTTATCGAAAGCTTCTTTGGCTTTTCTGAATGCCTCTGAGTCTGCAACCCTTCCAGTCTCGTCTTGTAACGCTTTTATATTCTCCTTCAATTCGTTAGACTTTTTGACTTCAGCCTTGAACGTATCAAAGAAAACTTTTAATGGCGATTGTGGTCTTTCATTATAATGAAACTGAGAGTTGTGGAATAAACGGATCTGGCTAGTAGTGCTTGATTTTAAAATCTGTGTCTGATAATTAGTGGCGTTCTTTATTATATTACTTCTCAACATTTTTTATTATACAAGATTGATGTGCCGTATTTAATAATAATTTTTTAACAAAAAAAAGATGATCTTATGAAAATACACCAATTCTCTAATGCATAAATGAGCTCTTAACTTGGCAATAAGTAGTAATGTTCATATACTATTATGAACTCTATAAGAAATTTTTTTTTCCCGGCTCAACAGTGAAAATTTCACTTTGGTAAAAACACTACTTATGGATATTTTGCAATTTATCAAACCCTATGTACAATATAAAACTATTTATTGGATAGTTTATGGTAATGCTGAGCCAATTTGGCGGCTCCAAACAAAATAAACCCTGCAATAGTTCCAACTTCAATTGCGTTGAGAATTTTTGTTTGTCTCTTTTCAATTTTGACCGCTTTTGAATATGGTATGTCACCTCTAAAAGAAATCATGGTGTACATTGGAATCCACTGAAATAAGCCATTGCCATATCTACCAAGCATATTATCGATCTTCTTTCTAAATAGGTACCATCCATTTGTAACCTTGGATGACATCTCGTGGTAGTTATCTAAAGCCAATTTACTGATGGTTTTTAAGTCTTCGGCTCTAAGCTCCGAGTACTGTTTAAACGACTCGGAGACTTCTCCGTTATTCTTATCTATTAATTCCATTAGAACACGAATATCCTCAAACCCACAATTCATACCCTGACCGTAGAAAGGGACCATCAGATGGGCTGCATCACCTATAATCAAGGCCCTGCCGTTTGGATTATGATAAGGGTAAGCATTGACTTGCATTAATGAACCTCTTGGTTGACTTTCAAAAGCATACTTAAGCTTTTCTTCTCCCATAAGTTCAAATGCATCTGGAAAATTATACTTGAAGAACTCAACAAACTTGTCTGACGAAGTTCCAAAAGACTCGATAACGGACCAAGGACTGAAAAATGTTGATGTAAATGAGCCATCCTCATTAGCTAGGGCTATTAACATAAATTCATGTCTTGGCCAAATATGAAGATGATTCGGGTCTATGTGGAACTTGCTATCTCCTTTCGTATTTGAAGGAATACTAAGCTCCAAATATTGCATGTCGATGTACTCCTGAGAAATATTCATTCTCATCGACTTCTGTAATTGGTATCTAAATTGAGAATGTGCTCCGTCAGCTCCAATAATGTAATCAAATTCGTAGGATTTCATCTTGGATTCAGTAGATTCCGAGTTATCTAAAAAAGTCATTTTTGGTGACTTCTCTTCACTAGATAAGTTATCTAGCCTTATTAATTTATGATTGAAATGAACGTTAATATCAGAATGCCTTATTTCATCTAATAGGCAGTCATTCAAAAATGATCTGTCTATAGAGTTGATGCTCTCCCCAAATAAACCGTATGCCTGGGATTCTTGCTTCTTTCCCGATAAATCATGAATCATTCTACCCGTCATAGGAATAACGTGCTCCAAAACCCTATCGGCCATTTCTGCATCGACATATTTTAATGCCCTGATACCACGATCACTAACTGCCAAATTAATGGATCTAAGATTCTTTTCGTTCGTAACTTCCTTTGGATCAGGACGTAATTCAAACAAAGTCACTGAAAACCCCTTGGCTGCGAAAGCCAAAGCAGCTAAACATCCAACTAAACCAGCACCAACTATGCCAATCCCCTGGTGTTTATTATCTTCTTTTGCTGAAGCCATTTTCTATTATAAATTGATGTTAGTTGCATTGGGTTAAAAGCATATTACTATTAATAAGTTTTTGTATATTCAAGTGAACTATATACAGGAGAATTCACGCCAGAAAATCTACTCTCTACTTAGTTGAATATTTTGCAAGCTTAGCGTTCTTCTCTTCTATTTTCTTCTTCATTGCAGATATCTGTGTTTCCAAGTCAGCATTTCTTGTTGCAAATTCCTTATTGGCCTTTGTTGTATTTTTCACATTTTCCTTCATACTTAAGTGTTCATATTTTTCAACTAACTCGTCTTTTAGAGCCGTCAACTCCGTCTTTTCTTTTTGCTTTTCTTGAAGCTCCTTATAATGTTCGTCTCCTTGATTTAAGATTTCTGAGTGAGTGTTTTTTAGATTTTCTAATTGTTGTCTTAATTCATTTATTTTGATAATCAAGTCATCATTGACTTCTTTTAAATTCGTTAATTCGTTGTTGTTGTTGTTCAACGAATTAGCATGAAGCAAATGGAATTCGTTTTCATACTTTATTATATCGGGTTCATATTTCAATACAGATAAAATTTCAACCCCCTCTTCCAGTCTTGATAAGGCATCAAAAAATTTTGATGAATTTAAAAACTCGTTCAACTCATTACCGTCAAGAGTCGTAATATATGATTCGTTTGCTTTAAATACCGCAACTAATAACCTATGAAGGAAATCGAACCCTTCGATCACAATGAAGTCCAAAAGGGTAAATAATATTCCAGTGTCGAGGATTTGATTATTGAAAAAGCTGAATAAAGTCTTCTTATAAAAGGTAGTTAAATTAATCCCTTGTTTTGTAATATAAACGAATGCTTCTGGACATAAATCCTCTAACGATCTATTAGCTTTATAAAAAAATTCATCTTTGATTAAATTGATAAAAAGCTTGTTAAATTTAAGCAAAAGAAACAAGATTTCTTCGTTTTGCAAATTTGGTATAGCTGCTACTAATTTACTAACGCATATAACGAAGTTGTTAGGCGGCAAGTTTTTATTACTTTCAAATCCGTTACTGGCAGTTTCATTATTGATCGCTTCTAATTTGGCGGCTCTTGGGGTTATAACTTCATTAGTATAATAATTGAAAATGGTTAAAACCTCTTTCAAGTTGCTATCAATTGCCAAGCTATCGATATATACTTGCTGGCTTTTGGTCGTTTGGGAATTATTTGCTTTTTTCAATAATGTGTTGTAGGTCTCTTTATTTAACTTATATCTCACCTGTAACGTTTTGAGATACACCAATGATCTTATATTATCTGGAATACCTTTTATAATATGTCTTTCTAACTCTTCGATTCTTTTATCTCTTATCAACTGGTTGCTATAGTCTTCAATATAGGCATACCAGAAATCCATGTCTTCTTCCGAATTATCATCAGATTTGTTCAGTTTGAGTGTGTCTAATTTACTTTTCACGTTATCTTGACCAACTGCAGTAATAGTAAATAAATCTGAAGCCTCGTTCATCACAGGCGATGAATATGTTTCCAATTGTCGGATAATTGTGATAGTTGATAAACCATCATTCAAAGTATACGTCAATGGAACCGTCGCTAATGACTTAGAATTTCTTGGAGGAAGAGGCGGAAGTTCCAGCGTTTCATTTAAAACGTTTTCTGATTCTGATTTTCTCTCTGGTAATGGTGGTGGACTAGTACTAGACATTATATTATTAAGTGAATTGTCTGTAATCTAAGCTCTATTATTATTAGAGATTCTATCCAAACCTGATTTTGTATCAAAAATCGGAACACAAAAAGATACGCTAATTATACGCTTATAATTTATTATACAACTAAATCTTTTCATATAGAGGAAAACCATATATATTTGAAGATCATTATGTGAATGCAAATTTCTCTATTCTACTTATGCTTTTCATTATCGAGTTTACGTCTTTTCAACGTAGAACTTCTACCAAATAACGTTGTTTTAGATGTAGGTGTGGTAGGTGAACCCATACTATACGTAGATATTTCCAGATTTGGTGTTTGGCTTCGTTGTATTTTTGATTGCTTTTGTTCATCATTTGGGCTCTGACTACTACCGGTGTATAATTCTATATCTGCTTCTCTCGAGGGACTAGAAGTTTTAAGATTCAGTGCATTAAAATCCGAAGGAGATGACATCTCTATTGAATCTCTGTTATTTGTTATAGATTCCTTAAAGTCTATGATTGCTTGATTTTTTGGTAGGGCTGTAATTGAACTTTTTCTGCTTTTCCTATTTGGAGTCTCATTATACTTGTTGCTATCAGATGTATTTGATAAAGATAATCCATTGACACTTTGATTTAATTCCTCGTTGTCACTACAATGCATGATCACTAGTTCTTCATCTTTGGGTCGCATAGCTTTCTCATGCTCTTTCTCTTTCATATCGTTGGAGTCCCCAACAAAACTAGTGATGAATCGCGTGATTAAGTCTTTATCTTGTTTGTCATCCAATTCATTGATTTCGTCTCTGAGTTGAAAAACCCTTTGTAATTGTGAATCGGTAATGTTTTCATCATTCGAAAAATAATCATTAAGTACCTCTTGGAATGTACGAGATAAATCAAGGCCAGATAGGGAGTCCCTCAACATTTCATTTTCTACCCTTATAGGAGGCTGTTGCTTTTTAACTGTGGGAACCTTGGAAGTAGCATATTTTACATCTTGGGCACTATTTCCAGCATATTTATCTTTTGCTTTGGGGTCTAATGTCCGAATTCCTTGAAATTCATCTTGCTCGGAATAAGAATTTTTTGATGCTTTCTTTGTCTCCAATTTGTCGTTCAGTTCCTCTTCATCTAATTTGGGCAGCTTTGTGGATCTGTTACTCACAACAGGGGTGTATTCTAAGACTTCTATATCGTCATCTGCATAGCAAGAATTCTTATCCTCAGCAACATCAGTTTGTTCGATGATTTGTTTTTTCTTCAAATTCAATAATATATTCCTCAATTCTCTACGCATGCCATTTCTTTCTTCTGCAATAAAAAGTAGTCTAGACGCACTTCTCAGATGAGAGCTCCTCCAAATCCTTTCACATTCCTCAGAGTTATTTAACCATTTTCTAACATTATAAATAACATGTATACCGCAATCATTAAAGTTATTCTGCTTCGGAACTTTTGCAGAATGCATGCGTATCTCATTTTTCTCGATATCTACATCATATTTATCTTTGCAATAGTCAATAATAAACTTTTTTAAAGGAAAGTGAATGTTAGTGTGCTTTTGACGTAAAGAATCAAAAATGAAAATCTCTGGTTGATACGGCTTTTTCATCTTTGCAGAAGCTTCAGGCGACAGTGCAACAGACGCTGAAGTAGATTCCAGAGTACTATTATCACCATCTAATTCTTCATAATTTGATTCGTTCATATCTCCAGCACGGTTCAAAGATGCTAATTTCTCTTTTCTTTTTAATGCAGATTCCAACAATTGCGGTAATCCTTTGATTACACAGCAATACCAGTGCAAGTTTTCATTAATCGGTATTATAATATTAGGGTAGCTCATGAGATCTAATTTGTTGAGCCATCTTTTGATATTACCGTAATAATCTATATTATCATCAAATTCATCTCCAGACATTAATTTTGTAAAGAAAAATGAATTAAATGCATATATATCCGATTGTTTAAATAGATGCTTCTGATAAACCGCCTTGTCCATTTCATATTTTATAAAAAAATCTATCAAAGAGTCGTTGATCCAATCGTTATCATATAATGTTTTAAAGTCTGAATATGTTATGCTGAACACTTTCTTATCTGTAAATATATATTTGAGTTCAACTTCAAAGAGTTTTGGTACTGCATTGGGTTTGACCAAGTCCTCGTCATATATGCTATGTGATTTTGTAGTTATACCATTTTCATTCAGTAGAGGCGAGTACCCACTAATACGACTCGAAGACCTTGTCCTTCCATACATTGCATCTGGTGATAACACTGGTAGTCTATCTGATGTGGCTTTATCGTTTGATGATGGGCTTTTTCCCAATAGGTCTGCTCTCTTTCGTTTTATGATACTAATTTTTTCTAGTAATAAGTCATTCACAACTCTTGTAGGAGTATTAACATTCCACTGCTTATTCTTCAAAAAGTAAGAAACGATATTGCTATCGTCCTCGGTGTACTTCAAATAAATATAGCCCGAATTATTGGTTAGCTCAATTAATATGGCTCTTTTGTTTATGCTAAAATTTATGCTCTTGAATTCATGATTCCTTGATATTACTGCTATTAGTCTCTGCTTTTGAGTGAAAAGTAAGAAGTCATCGTTGATTGAAATTCTAAAGGTCAACTCTCCCGGCCTGCCCTGCTGTACCGATTCTCCATTGATCAGCATTGATCTGACCACTAACATCTCACCCAGGTTCTCATCTAAGTCTCCATTGAAGGTGAATGTATCCTTACCCAATAAACTTTTAACGCTTATCAATTCTTCTCCATCTTTACCACCATTATCAGAATCGTCCGACTCAACTACTGGATCATGCAATGTATTCTCAACGCTTTTTCTAAGATTTCTGGAATTATCCACCAGCCCACCAAATATATCCCTCAATTGATTTCGAACTGAGAATTTAGACCCGGTTGGAGGACTCACTGATCTTTGGCTACTATTTCCACTTTTCAAGTTATTCACAGGATGAACTGATCCTCCGATTCCTCGTTTATCTAGCGAGTTAAACTTTTTATTAAATCGATGCCCTCCGCTCATAGCGATCCTCTAGGGTATCCTGATTTATCTCTAGTCTAACTTCTATTTCGATGAGCCTAAAACTATGAATCTACTCTCCAAAAAAATGCAATCTTTTAAATGATGATCGTGAATAACTTTCAGAATCGCGGGAGGTCTTCGCTTCGTTACCCTTTTGACTCACATTTTGAATACATCCATTTCTATAGCTACACGCTCTAAAGAAGTACTACGAGAGTATTGAGACAATTGGTGATGGTCTTATCTTCATCTACTCTATTTCGAATTTAAGTAATCTCATCATATAGTCTTAAACACTTTCTTGAACACGCATACGACATCTGGGTCAGATAGCTCAAAAAATGCCAGAGAAGTTGGTGTGATATTCCTCTAAAGCCTTTACAACTAACCAGTATCATCTTCTATTCTTTACTCTTTCATGGGCGTTTCAAGGTATGATATCTATAGCCACTAACAATATATTATATGACTGCATATAGCTGTTTGATCAAAAAGTTATATTAGTATACGAAAGGAAGATATACACCGATCGATACTCAGTTCCCCTAATACACATGTTTAGAGCCATAACCAGAATAAGCAGTCCCTTCATTGCCCTTGGAGTAGGATTTGCCGCATTTCCTAAGGATTGGAGAAAAGGGAATTTCACCAGTGATCGTAAATTGACCAGTTTTAATCAATCTGTGATAGAACAAATCCAAAATACTAATGAATACAAGAAACTACAAGAAGATGAATCCGTTACTATGCATTACTCCAGTCAGACCTTCCCCAGTCAGCATCACAAAAATAGTGTAGGGTCAGGAATACTTTTTGGCCCCAACCTTATGGAGATCGATCCTATCATCTTTCTCAACCGTGACCAAGGGGAATTGACAGGCTTCTACCACTTGGGTCGTAATCTCATCAGTCAGGACGGACAAATTCACAACGGTGTCGTATCTACAATTTTGGACGAAGGATTGTGTTCGTGCGGATTTCCGTTATTGCCCTCTAAGAAGGGGGTCACAGCCAAGTTGTCCATAGACTTCAAGAATCAAATTCCTCCTGGAAGTACCGTCATATTGAGAGCAAGAGTTAAAGAGGCTAAGGGAAGAAAGGTGGTTATTCACGGTGATTTGGAAACTTATCCCTTGCAGGAAGGTGAACAGCCTTTGAAAATTGCCGAATCCCGTTGTATCTTGGTGGAACCAAAATGGTTCAGGTATTTTTCGTGGCTCCAAGTGTTCTAATCTGAACCAAACATCATCATATAGGCTATATTTACATACTATGCACGCGACTCGCTTACCGTTTTTCGTTATATAGACCCAAATGACGACTATTTGCATATGTTATTTCTCACTCGAGATTTTTGATTGCTAATATAGTGACCTAAATAGGTATTATTGCTATCGAAACATTTTCTAGTCCATAATGATAGCAACCATTCCATAAGTTGTTATTGTTTCGTCTGATTTAGAAAGCTGTGGAAGTATATTACTCTACAAGCTCTCTCTGTACAGTATGCCCCTTTCAATAAACCATGACGGCTGGTATCAAATGGACCTATTCTCAAAACTATTTAAGTGGCTCCAAATAACTACTCTTGCAACTTTTATTTCTTTATTAATTAATTAATTAAAAACATAAAATAAATTAACAATGTCAGACACCGGCCGTAAAGATATTTCCGATAAAATTGAATCAGCTGTTAAGCCAGATTCCCAAAAGTCCACTCTTGACAAGGGTAAGGACACTGTTACTGACAAGCTTGATAACTTCGTTGGTGACAACACCCGTAGTGGTGACAAGTCATTCGTTCAACAAGCTTCTGACGCCATTTTCGGTGACAAGAAATAAGCAACTTAATATTGATATTAGTTGTTAGTATATATATTGGCTAGTTGCTATTTTAGAACTGGTATTTTTTAGAAATAGTCTCGAACTCAATATATGATTTGTTGTACTTAATATTTTCCATGTAGTGTATTATGGTTTCAGCTCTTCTGAGGCATACTTCGATTGCAGATTGTTTTCATTCTATATGGATACAAAATGCAATTAGTTACGACGATGTTGTGGCTTTCTATTCGTATCTGAATAGATACGCGTTCGCGTAAACGAATTTTGAAAATAAATATACAAAGTTGTTTTAGTAATATAATATCAACCTTACAAGACAAGATGACAGTTTCTTCTAACGCAGCAGAGCAAGCTTACTTGGATTTGTGTGAACGTATCATAAATGAAGGAGAACACCGCCCAGATAGAACTGGAACCGGTACTAAATCGCTCTTTGCTCCTCCACAATTGAGATTCAATCTTTCAGACGACACATTCCCTTTGCTTACTACAAAGAAGGTTTTCTCGAGAGCTATCATTCATGAGTTGTTGTGGTTCGTACAAGGATGTACGGACGCTAAAAAATTGTCGGAAAAAGGTGTTAAAATTTGGGAAGGCAATGGATCAAGAGAATACTTGGACTCCATAGGATTGAAAGACCGTCGCGAGGGTGATTTGGGTCCAGTTTATGGGTTCCAATGGAGGCATTTTGGAGCAGAGTATAAAGATTGTGACACAGACTACTCTGGACAAGGGGTTGATCAATTACAAGATGTTATTAAAAAGTTAAAAACAAATCCATACGATAGAAGAATTATCATGTCTGCATGGAATCCGCCAGATTTTGCTAAGATGGCCTTGCCCCCGTGCCATGTATTCTGCCAATTCTACGTCAGTTTCCCGAATGAGACTCCTGACTCTGGCACTATTAAACAACAAAAGACACCAGCGAGACCAAAATTATCGTGTTTACTATACCAACGTTCCTGTGACATGGGGTTAGGTGTCCCATTCAACATTGCTTCATATGCGTTATTAACGAAAATGATAGCACATATTGTAGACATGGATTGTGGCGAGTTTATCCATACATTAGGTGATGCTCATGTGTATTTGGACCATGTTGATGCATTGAAAGAACAATTGGCTAGAACTCCTAAAGAATTCCCTAAGTTAATAATCAAGGAAGAAAGAAAAGACGAAATCAAATCTATTGATGATTTTAAGTTTGAAGATTTTGAAATAGTTGGATACGAACCGTATGGTCCAATTAAAATGAAGATGAGTGTTTAAGAAATGGTCTACATTTAAATTTTTCCTAAAATTATATAATTTTATTAATAACAATATACATAAGTTACTAAATCAACATGCTGTGCCTTCTACTTTCATATGTTCTCCTTTCTCCTTTAGTGGTACTTTGTTTTCGCTTTTTGTATGTTTTTGGAGCTATGTTTACTTCATCAAAATCAAAAATAGACGGATCATTTTTTTCATCTCTCTCTCTCTGTGCTACGTCCATTTTTGACTTAACTACTTTATCATTCTCATCATCTGTAGTCTGAGGTATCTTCGTAATATGTGCCTTATCATTTTTATCTGCAGTAGTCACATTCTTAGAGTTGGTTTTATTATTGTTGATATGAGTAACATTTCCCAAGGGTTGTCGTTTAGATCTCTTAGAAGACTTATCCGAAATATCATTGCTTTTGGATCTCTTTCGTTCAGTTTGCGATTCAGGTTCTTGTTTAATAGGTGAGTCTAAAACAGATACTTTGGCAAGCTCACTAGTAGGCTCTTCTTCATCAGGAACGATGACTGCATCAACAAACTTTTCTGATTGTCTTCTCATTTTCTTCGATAACGAAGGCCATTTATAACTAACGGGCTTCCTGCTACGACTAGGTCTTCTACTTTCCTCCTGTGGCTCCTCTTGATTCTTTTCTTGCTTAATCTGAGGGTCAGCTTTAGAAACAACTGGCTCTTTCTGAGCTGTCTTTTTTGTTTTCTTTGAACTCTTTGAATTCACTGTATTATCCAGGATATCTATTACATCACTTTCTTTATCTTTATCCGTATATACATCAAACATGCGAGACTCGTGTGAATTTACTCTTTTATTGTGTACTGGAATGTTCTGAATGTTCTTGATCGACTCAGGACTTTGTATGCTAGCTTCTTTGGCTTCAGAGTTAGGCATAATTTCCAGTGAAGATTCACTACAAGGTTTTCGAGATTGAACTTCGCTTACTTCACTCACAGAATCATTCTTAAGTAAATCTATATTATCTTCATTTGACACATAGGCATTGGCGTTTTCCTTCTTTTCCACAGAACCTTTAAGAATGACAGACAGTTTGGTCACCTTGTCTGCTGTATGTAAATATAGATGCGATTTAGGTAAAGTAAATGAGCTTTCCTTTAATGGTTGTGATAGTGACCTAGGATTAAATACAAACGGACTAATTCCAGTTCCCGATGCGTCTTCTATGGGTGTCGATGTTGCTGACGGAGCTTCATTAAGTAAGTTTTTAAAAATCCCTAACTGGGGGTTTTCAGCCATTCCCTCATCCATTCTAATCTCTCTAAGCATTTCAAATATCTCACCGAATTTATGTACTAATCCCGTTTCGACAATTTCAAGTTTAGCTTCTAACTGCTTTTTCAATTCTGCATCTTTGAAAGTCCTTCGCTTCCTAAGAAGCATATTCTCGTTTATCAAATCACTCACTTTAGCTTCCATTTCTGATATTCTGAGCATCATTAAAGAGTTATTTTTGGCCAACGATTTATTCTGAAGTGTGTACTTCTTTCTGATCAACTCGATGTTCTTGTGTTGTTCCTGTTTATTTTTCAATCCCTTGTTCTTTATCGGCTCTTGTGTGATTTCATCGTCTAAAAATGATGAGGCAACCGGATCATTATCATCATTTTTATTCTCTTTCTTGGATTGAAACTTCGAGCTAGCTAAATCTGCTAGAGACTGTGAGCTCACAGATGGTCTTGCCATGATTTTCTTAGGTTATAAGTAGCTTCAATAGTCTAAATACATGTACTTTGTTTAGATAGTTTACAAATACTGATTTATAAACATATGTCACGTGAATATCCGCGTCTGTTATTTTGATTCTGTAGAGATGTAGTTTATCATAATCATCATAGAGGATAGCTTTCAACAGATACATAGACATAACAGAAAATGGATCGACGTACGGTATTGAAGTCGACTCACATACAGCAGAAGATTGCAGAAAAAAAAGCAGAGTTGGAGAACTTGAATGAAATCAAAAGATTCACTTCGATTTTAACAAATCAGTTAGATGAACTAGAGAATAAATTGGATTATATGGCAGAAGGCACAGAAAGTGTTGCATTGGTTCTATCTAATTGGCAAAATGTAGTTAAGTCCGTATCTTTAGCATCGCTAGGATTGTTGAAATATAGTGAGAAAGATTATGAGACTGGAGCACCTCTACCTGAATGCCTCGTGCGTATAAAACTAGATAAGGATGACAATGTGAGTGAAAACATTCAAGAGAAGGAAGAGGTAGAAGAAGAGGGCTATATACTGGATCAGCAGGCTGAGGAGAGTGAAAATATAAACGAAGAAGATGATAGGGAAGAAACACCACCATCTTATTCGGATTAATGGAGAGCAGAGCAGTGATTATTTGGCATTATTATTAATTTTACGTAGGGAATTATTAATAAAAATATACATTATTACAGGCATAATTATGCCATATCTATCTATTTAGTATTGGACTTAAATACCTCGGTAGAAGTGTTGTTCTTAACTTCTTGTTTAATGGACATAATCCAGGTTTTCAAATTGTAGTTAGTAACATAGACTTGCAATGTTTCCAAATACTTTGCATTAAGACTTTTAACTAAATTATCTTCTCTGTCATCATCAAGACCTTCCGTGTAATGCAATAATAGTTCATCCAATTCATTCAAGAGCTCGCTTTCTGCTCCAAGATATGAGATCGTTTTGTACAATATGGAGTCATGAATCTTCTGTTTAGTATACTCATCAGTTTTATTCTCTGTCTTTGCTAAAGTTGACCAATCATCAGTCGAAGTAAGCAACCTTAACCAAATCATTTTAGCTTGAAGCCTGTATTCATGTTCGTTAGTAATCAAGGATGCCACTTTCAAGGCATTAGAAAAGCCATTCACAAAGCCAGAATACTGTTTAATCAGAATCAATAAAGTTATTAATTGCTTTGGGTTCAATGGCCTATTTTCCAAAAACTGTTGGAAAAAAGGTTCTATCAAATTCTTCGAAGTAGTATGGTCAAGAGAATCATTTATAAAGTTCTTCAAAACGTAATCCAAATTTAATAAGCCTTTCTGACCGGAAACAAAATTTAACAACTCCAGGTATAGATGCTTTTGAATCCTGATGAGGATTAAATTGTTCTCTGCATCATATAATAGATCTTCTAATCTATTGTTGTCAGTCATTGCATCAGAGTTTTTAGCTGCAATAGCCGATAACTTAGCAAGAGAATATTTCAATTCTATATTCTCTTGTAAATCTTCACTCTTTGAACGTGCTGACTCAATTAGAGTTTCTGCTCCTTGAACAAAATTTTTGTCCAAGAGGCTACGAATCCAAGAAATTTCTGAAGTCTTTTTGTTATTCTTAGCGAAGTATTCTTCGACATAATGATTATAATTCTCAAAACCAACTAAAAGAGATTGGATTTTATCGTTCTTTATGTAGAAATCAAATAAATTGGATGCAAACTCGTATTGAAATTTCTCAAAATAATAAGAATATCTGCTCAACAAATTATCAAACTCCTTGCTGTTCTCTCCATATTTTTCAATAATAGCTGATTTTTCAGCTTCCAAAATTTGAGCTAATGAAGATAAATCATGATACTTTTCAGCTATTGCAATAGCCTCTTTATCCAAACTACGTCTTATTAAAGCTTCAATCCAATCGAATTTCCGTGATTTATACCATCTTATATATTCCTTGAGTTGGTCACTATTTCCTTCTTGTTCTTTCATGAAATTAATAGCACTTGTAACGAAATAATATAGAACTTCACAAGATTGAATCAAAATAGATCGCGTCTGTTGTGTTGAAATATCTTCATGGTCTTTACTGTTATTGCAATATAATTTACTAAAGACTTCTTCGATTCTTAAAAGTAAAGAGGTCTCAAAAATCCATAACTTAAAACTTGGTACCTCGCTTCCAACGATGTAACGGGAATCGTTCTCGTATACTCCATTATACATTGTTTTAACAATTAAGTCCATTATACTTGTTAAAGAGTAGTCAATTTGTATCAATTTCTCGATGAATGTAGTCAAAACCTGATTAATTGATGATAATCCTTGACTAAAAAATTTACGAATAAGATCTTCATCTTTAGAAATTTTCACCGCGTCCACTTCAAGTATAGATTCTTTAAAAACCCCTTTCAATTTTTCTGTAGCACTTCCCTCATTAATAAATATCCATAAACTTAAAGCAACTTCGATTTTCTCCAAATATTCAGTGATTTGTGGACCAATATCACCCCAGAGTGGTAAAAAATTCCTCTTTGTATAATGTATCAAACCGTGATATAGTTTTGATTTCATAGATAAAAAGTCTTTGATAGATGGTAAAAAGACAGGTAAGTACGGAGATGTAGAATCCAAAATTTCATCTAAAACTCTTTTAAGAGCTTCAATAATTATGTCATTTGAATATTCCTCCTTAATATCAAATTCTATAGCCGAAGATTTCGAATAAAATATTGCCTGTTCTATATGTGACTTGGCTATCTGTATTGGATCAACAACATCTTCTTCTTCATCTATTTCCATTTCATTGTTAGATTGTTCCGGAAATCTTTCTACTCGTAATACACCAGAATTATTTGTTAATAATATGACAGCGGGATTGGTATTGCTTGATTTATTTTCGTATCCTTGTCCAATCACTTGGACGCTCGACTTCAACTTCACTATGTCTTCCCATCTAGGTTTATAATATTGAACTGTACCCTGCGATTGGATATACGATGTATTGATATCTGTTAAAATCACTGAACTATCGAATGTAATAAAAGCTGTTTTACCCAGGTCTGGAACATATAATTTTGGTTTATTATTTGAAGAAATAGTCAAATTAGGGTCGTATCTGATCAATTTATGGGAACCATAAAATAATACACCTGTTTCATCAATTTTCATAGTCACTAAGAGAAGATTTTTGCCTTCGTTATCACGATATGCTTCATCAATAAGACATAATCCCAAGTATATATCCTGAAGTTCTTGCGATTCTAATGGCCACAAATCCAAAAATTTGGTGTTTAAGCTGGAACCAGGAAGAAATCCATCAATGCTGTTTTCTAAATAAACCCCGAGGTTTTGTTTTAAGGTCTTCTTCTTTTCGATGTATGGAACTGCATTTGCGGAAAACAAATTATATGAAAAAAGGTTAAATCCACCAACTGAGTCTTGAATAATAATTTCTTGTGTCATACCATGATTTGCAATTTTGCCTGATTTTATACTCACAATTTCATCTTTCAAAGTACCATTGTAATCCATGTGATTATTGAACCCATTAAAGATAGATGAGAGAAATCCCCCAGAATGCGATGGTCCTAAGAGTTCAATATATGATAATTGTGGTTTACTTTTAAAATCTCTCAATGATATTAATATACATCTTTTCCATGATGTAGCAATCACAATACCTGCTGGTTCCACGTTTTCAGCTAAAGTTATGTACTCGCCTTTATTGCTATTTAATGGAATTGTCAACTCCAACAATTTATTGTTAATCAATCCCAATGCTGGTGCATGTTGCACACTTTCGTAAAATTTAACTAGTCCTGATGAAGAATCAATAATTACTAACCCCGGATCTTGACTAGCTCCACTCGAAGGACGAGTTAGTATAGCTAAAGGCAACAACGATTCTGAACTACGATCTAATGGAAATTGAATTGATAAAGGAGTTGTATCTGTAGAACTGTAATTCCAAACGTGAATTGCTTTCTCATTAATAACAAGCGCATAATTAGATGCACTATCAGAATATCCATTTAATATATTATCCGAACTATCAGTTTCTAATACTGCTGGTAGTGCTGGTAGTCTGGAGACACAATACTTTTTATTCTTTGTCAATTCAAACACTGATTTTCCATTCCCTGTTGCTGACTCGTTAGAGCTGGCTATGCCATTATCTGCAATTGGAGAACGGCTCGATTGTCTTGGTTTGAATATAGATCCCTGAGTGAAAGACATTGAAGACTTCCTATACAGTATTATATGCTAATTGCAAGGTCTTAAAGATCAGTTTGTTTTCATTTACTAAGTTTTCAGTATGCGATGAAATTTTTGATTATATAAACAAAGCCGGTATCTTATGTAATACGTCGAACTCTTTTAACTAGTACGTAGAATATTCATTTATTCCATATATATTCCATATAAATAACTCTATGTGGATGATTATGTCTTTGGCAAGCATATGAAGATACACTTCTAACTCATCTGAAGTAATGAACGGTATGTTAACCTAATCACTCTCTTATAATGTACAAATATTATTCAAACTAATAGCTGAGATTAAACCTTTTGTCTCTTAGATTCAGGTTCCTCCTCAGCCGAAAGGAAGTCTTCATCTTCATTGTCGAAGTCATCTTGGTCATATTTGGCTTTCAAACCCTTCATCTTTCTAGTTTGTAATTTGCCTAAATCTTGCTTACCAACGTGAATTTGAGCAACCTTGTCACCCATGAAATCAGTACTAACGTTCTTCTTTTGTTTAGGTTGTAATTGTTTTGGTACAGCGTATGCTTCTTTTTCAACTTCTGGTGGTGGTGTGAGTCTTCTTCCAATCTTGAAATCAAATCTTGGTCCTATTTCATCAATCTCAACCCTTGGAACTTTCTGTCCCGATTTATAAGTCTTCAATTTGTATACACGGAAATGAACCAAAGGTAACGCACTTGAGTTTGGATCTTCAATTTCGCCTGTCGATAACGCAATGATATGTTGTAAACCAGCTACATCTTGTAAATCAGTTTCTTCACCTCTGTAAAAGTCCATAAATAACGACTTGATATGCTGAAACACTGGGTGACTGTCAAATGCAGGTCCATTAAAAACGAACATTGGTTTTAATCCTATAGTGAAAGTTAACTTCTTGAAATCTTGCAATAATTTAGCGTTATTTTGTATAGACAATTCAATCATATCGAACACTTTATGGTTGAAAAATCTAGCAAATGTCAATGTGTTTGGTCTCTTCTTGTTGTTGGATGAGAAAACCATCAACGAGTTGTCATTCTTCTCAGAGAAAAATTCTAATTCAGTGGCATCTTCAAAAGGTCTGATTTCATTCTTCTTTGAGAATTTTTTAACAGCAGGTTTCTTCAACGCCATCAAGTCACACATGGCATCATGCAAAAACTTATTACCAGTAGAACCTGGAACAAACAAAGCAGATTTAGTATTTTCCACTAATTTTGCTTCCTTTTTGGCTAAGGCTCTCTTTGAACGAGCATTCTTTGGTTTACTGTATTATTGTTAGTAAGTTATTCTCTTGTCTATCATTCTTATTATCTGATTATCTTGTCTTATACATACATAGTTCTAATCATTATGGCCAACTTGATAATATATACTCTTATTCAAGAAGTAGGATTCTTATTAAAAAAAAATTCCACTGCTCATCTTAACATTGATCACGTGATATCTTCCCTCATCAGTGCACAAGCACAGAGCTTGATCTGAAATGGTATGAGAAACAACAGTAGGATTCAAACGTTCGTAGAACTAGGATTATCTTTAGATTATGATGAATATGAATGGCTGAAAAAGAACCTATTACTACCAAGCCTACCTATATAAGACTATAAAAAAAAGTATTTAAAAATAAGGTCGTACCCGGATTCGAA